CTGCTGGGCTGTGCTCAAAATGGAGGACAGCACGAGGCCTGGGGGTGGGAGAGCTTATATAGGCTGAAGGGAAGGCTGATGTAGTCAGGGAGGGGTTGGTGCTGGAGTGGAAGGTAAGGCTGGTGGATGCAATCAGGTGAAAGGTTGCACCCATGTGGAAGTACATTATATAGGCTGAAGGGAAGGCTGATGTAGTCAGGGAGGGGTTGGTACTGGAGTGGAAGGTAAGGCTGGTGGATGCAATCAGGTGAAAGGTTGCACCCATGTGGAAGTAGAGGAGTTTCTATTTCTCAGAAACCATGAGGTTTCTCGTAAGGGAAAGGCTGGCAGCTATTTTGTGCTTATTGTGTGTAAAATGGCTCCAGTCATGTCCAAGATCCATCACATAGGAATTCAGAAGAAGGAACAGAACTGAGGTTCAAAAGGGAGGGAAGGCAGGTACAGAGTATGTTATTATTGATTAACCCTGGAATGTGCCAGGTGTGCTTTTCATATGCTACTTAACACGAACAACAGTCCAGTATGTAAGCTTCTTTATACTCATTTTTCAGCTGAGGAAACTGGGTTGTAGAAATGTTTCATCATTTGCTCAGGACCCACAGTGAAGAAAGCACAGATTTCTCTTCTTTTCAGATTTCTCAGGAACCTCTGCTATCCCCAGCCAGCTACCCACAGAGACAACTTCCTCTGCAACAGGTAAGTGCTGGAAGATTCATGCTGGGGTCTGGGATATGAGGCGCATGGATCCCTCTTTCTCTTTCTCCTCTCTGCCTAGATTTCTTGATTTAATTCACTTGTCTCACAAATTTGCTTTGTTTTAAAAATCCTTTATTTCCTCCTGTAAAGAGGGTAGATATCATAAGTAAATAGATATTGATATACTGCCCCACAACCCCACTTCTATCCTGCACTGGGTGGATACTTATAATGTCTAATATGCAGAACAATAATATGAGTGGCTTGTTAAATAGATTCCTAGACACTGTTTCTAAGCCTCTGATTCCATCAGTGAGTGGTTCTCAAACTTCCGTGGGCATAAGAACCACCTGGAGGGTTTCTTAAAGGACAGATTTCCGAACTCCCAGAGTTTCTGATTTAGTAGGTCTGGGGAGGGGGGTTCAGTGATTTTCATTTCTTTTTTTTTTGTCCTTTTTGAGACCGGCTGCACTGCGCTCAGCCAGTGAGCGCTGTGAGCGCACCGGTCATCCCTATATAGGATCCGAACTTGCGGCGGGAGCGCTGCTGCGCTCCCAGCGCTGTACTCTCCCGAGTGCGCCACGGGCTCAGCCCTCATTTCTAAGAAGTTCCCAGGTGATGCTTCTGCTCCTGATCACTT